CTTATGGTGAAAGTCAGATCTATGAATCATAGGAGTGAATTATAAATTAGGGCATCTAGTCATTACCTCTTTAAAGGCCTTAAGACATCCCTTGCGTCAACACTGACGTTTTTTATCTTCACAAAACTGATATAGGAAAGAAGGCAGTACTTTTTCTGCTATTATTGCTGATTCAAATGAAGGTAACTATGCAGGAAGATAAAATAGCAACACCATTTCCACACATGAAAATCAAGCTATCTTAATGGACAAGAGATACCACTGTCAGTGGTATTATTCCAATTTTATGTCAGAATCTGAGTAAATTGCCATTTATAGAAACAAAAACTCTGGGCACTTCCTTGTACTGAGTCCCACAAGCATTGGTAATGGACATACTAAAGTATATCTGGACAAACACCCGCTACAAAACTCCTTCTGAGGTAAGACGTGTCAGTAACATCCTCCACTTCTGGGCTGCTTCATGGTGCAATTCCTACAGATCTCACTGTGGGAACTGAACTCATTTCAGCGTTCATGCGTAATTTCTGATCTGAAGACAAGCTAGAAGGCTACATAGGCTTATTAAACATATGAAATTATGAGGGGAAAGAGCAACATGAGCAATGAACTTAGAATCCTGATTTCTTTTTAATTCAATGACAGAATTAGTCACCTACTCAGATACATAGCTGCTGTCCCAATGCTGTCACATTCTAATGTTTTTCCTGCCTTCCTTTGAATTTGCCTTACTTTCAGCACTACTATCTTGGGTTGGTTTTTGTTTTGTTTTAACTAGGAATTGTCTTCCCATGAGCAAAGATTATATTCAGACACATCATATTCAGGTGCACTTTCAAGGCATAAATTAAAACCATGGGAAGGTTTTCTTTACAAAAGTACTAAGAGTAATCAGTCTTATCTAAATCATGCACTCGAAGCTGCTGTGCCTTCCAAAGAGCCTCCTTCCTATATTCTGTCAGGATTTCTAGATTCTACAGATCTTACTGATGAAGGCAGTAGTCTTGCTCTCAACATCTGATTTCTGTCTGGCAACTAGTCCATGTTTCCAAACACACAGGGAAACAAGTTCACTTCCATGTGAAGAAATACAGACAGGTACCACCATCTTGTGCTGTTGCAGTGCCATTTCACACTGTGCACACTCTGAGTTACACTAACCTAAAAACTGGTGACATCCACTGGGTCACAATCACAAAGATGACCCAGCAGAGACACTCGCTTTGTGTAAACCTTCACTGCAGTAAGCAAAGGTGAAAACCTCCCAACACAAAATAAATACATAAACTTCCTATAGATACATTTATTTCTTTCAGGTGGCTGCCACAGATGTTACAGCAGTAAGAATTCTTAAGTGAGTTTTAACCATTTCATACTCAATGCTAAAATGTATGCCTCCTATGACCCAAGCATGGTTTTTACAGCAATTTTTTACTTTGGGTGAACTGGCTTGGATTTTACTGGTGCTATCTGTAAAACCATCTCAAAGTTTTGTTTACTTCAATAAAAAAAAACATATAAAAACTTCACCCAACAGATCCTGGATTAAAGCATGTTTCAGTTCCTTAACACTATTGCAGCACAATGGAAATAATGTGCATTAAAATAAAATTTACTGCAGAAGTACAATAAAACTGAACAAGTTCTGAAGATGTTTTGCATAATGCACACAACCAATGACTTAAACTGTACTTTCAAGAAATTGCATTATTTTTAAGAAAAAAGGAAGAATCACGGCATTATGACTACAAAACTGAATTCTTCCTATACATTGCTATTGCCAGGTGTTTTTTAAAACAGGTGGAAAGCTCAGTAATCTTTGCTAGGTTTCAAACAAAATCAACATATTTTAATAACCAACACTTTCTTACACCCAAGACTCAAGAAATCATCTTGTGGCCCTCCAGCCTCCCCAGGTATATGGAATCCATCAGAAGCATTACATTTACAGCAGAAGAGATCCAATCTCCTCACAGAGACCAAAGATCAGACAACAATCTCACAGAAACATATTAGTATGTAAGTCTGTGAAGTAAATAAAACTATGAAAACGGAAAGGAATTGGAGAGTCTTCCCAAAAATGTGTATTTGACATCAATGACAAGACCTCCAGAGCAGACCCATCGGTGCCTTGTGCTGGCTACAACCAGTTCTTTCAAAATGACACTTGCCTGATGAGCAGAATAATGACCTGAACTGGAATTGGAAGGACCTGTACTGATCTTTTCTTTTTTTTTACTTCAGCAGGCTGCTGGATGCTCCATGAGTTTACAAAACAGCTGTGAATGTTATGGGCAGAGAGGCTGAAGAGGTGATCTCTCTGTTCATCTTGATCTTAACCGATAAATTTCAACCACCTTGGTAAAAATGGTTACAGGCATGAGCACCAGTTTTGTGCATATCCCTGTCTGAAGCTTTAATCAAGTTTTGCTATGGAGTTGTGTGGAAAGCTCATGAAAAAAATGGCCACACAGATATCACTTGTAACTCACCTTCAAGGAGACAGATACTGTACAGAAGTCTCTTTCAGGATTTGATTCAATTAGCATCTGAAACACAATAAAAAATTCAAGTGGAGGTGTCATCTTTTAGGCTAGGCAACTGTTTCCCATTCTTGCTCTGGTTCCTTAACTTCACAATAATTTCTACTGCCATTTGACTGGATGAATTAACAAATTAGCAAACTGTACCCCTCCTGCACAGCAACTACAGAGACACTGTGGTAACAGAAATCCAATTGTGACAAAAGGTTTAATTCAGAATTGTATTTGCCTTCAGGAGGTGGCTTAGTTTTTTAAAACTTGGTGTTTTAATTACTTACCCAGTGGTACCTGGTTCAGTTAGATTCTTCCAATCTATTGTATTTTCTTGTTAATACCAATCTCCCTTCACGCAGGAACTTGCTGACAAACTATTGTCCACTGCACTTGCTGAAATGAAATTGTGAATATTTTGCAACTAATATATTTAAATTAGCTGAAAAAACAGTTAAAAAATTACAGTATTTCAAATAAATTTGTAATGCTATGGCTTTATTTAAATCCAGTTTTCAAAAACGTTTAGTAATTAGAAATATGTTCACGGCTCTCAAGAAGAATCTGTAAATAAAAGTACTTTTTCATTTCCTCTGAAGCATAAAGCTAATCCACATCCTGATAACCTTTTATTATTCTACTGGGCAGTGGAATTTTTAATTAAGAATAATGGAAATCCAGGTCTTGTCCATGTGCACAGAACAGGCAAAAATTTTCCTCCTATCAATTATGATCCATCTTCTTCCATCTTGTACAATAATCTGATTCTTGTATAAGCAAACTAATGACACTAATTAATTTCCTTCTAAACTAAACACATCCGTGCCTCAATCCAAAATACTCTTTTTAAAGACTATATAATTTGGTATTCCTTATTTTTCAATGAAACTAAGATTTAAAATTGCACACATTCTCAGAAGAGCACAAGGATTCAATCACTGTGTCTGAAATCCTCCAAATTTATATCATGATCTGTGCCTATCTATAAATACATGTGCAGAACTGTAAGATCAAGAAAAAACAACAAATGACGGCAACACCCTAAAATTAGTCAAGGACTCCCAACTGCTTCTTTGCCTGACTGTAGTCATGAGGACAGACATCTGTGCAAATTCTTGCATTTTATGGAAAGCAGGAAAAAGCTTCTGAATGGTTTAAGTTTTCAGTATGTTTATATTACCAGCCTTTAATTATTCTAGCTGCTCCTGATTTCCTGCATTTCTTAAATGTAGGTCCTCAGGAATATGTAACAATCCAATTTTTCGTTGTTTCTCTGTTTTAGTTTTGGACCATAAAAATGACCCCAAATTATCCGTATTCCCCACTGTCACTGTTCTTAAGTGAATTTAACTATCTTGAGTTACTTCTGAATTTATGCTAAGTAGCTTTAATACTCAGGGACTATAATGCATCTATACTCTTTCAGTTCAGTGGGGAATTTCCAGGAAAGAAAGAATATAAACTTCTTTCAGGCTCTTCTGCATGACAGTTGTTTTCAAAAAGGTCTTCGTACTATAATCCCTTTAGACAAAACACATTATGAATTCTCTTTAATTCTCTTAATATCACAAGTTTTAATGAAATGCATTTCCAGTTTGTCATCTAATAACCATTTGTCACATACAAAAAATTCCCCACAACAGTACTTACTGTGTCAGCCAATAATGACAACACTTTTTCTTTAGCTTCTTTATTTAAAATCAGTTTATATATCAGTGAATTTCAGTTATAACAAACTGTTCTCTCACAAAATCCCACTATCAGAATGGTAATCTCTTAACTATCTTTATTTAAGAAAATAACACAACTATGCCCCACAGATTATGACAGAGCTTGAAAAGAAGTCTCTCTCTTTCTTTACTATGTAATGAAGACAATGTCATAAAAGTACATAACAAAGCTATAGAAAAATCAGGGAAATTACAGAAAACCAGAAGCTCCCTATGTGTCTTGCCCTACTCAATTATTTTTTAATGGAAATAAAACATGAATGGCTTTATTCAAATAAATACATATTTTATTAGGTAAAATGCATCTGAAACATGAATTCTTCCTGATTCTAAATTTCAGACTACGTAAAAAGTCAAAATGATGGGCTATGCTGGCCAAAGGTTGGTTACAAGAGTTTTTATTTTGCAAACTATACAGAAACAGTAAAAAAGAAAATGCATTATACTTTTCAATATTACATAAGATAAACATTAGATTTAGTATTTAGAAATAATTCAAATATTATTTAGAAATTAATTCAAATAAGAATCTCATTTTCCTTTTATTAATGATGGGAAACCAGTGATTCATTTTTAAATTATACAACCTGTAGTAATACATTATACAGGCCATGTCAATTTTATTGTGGGCAGAAAGAAACAGATAGGATATGAATGAAGATGGTGGAGTCCCAAAATGTCTACACAATTAATTAACATGCTAACATAAATACAGTGATTAAAGTAATTTTCTCTACAGTAAAATCTTAAGTGCTACTCTACACAATAAGTATAATCTAGACCACATGGTAATTACATAATAATAGGAAAAAATTAAAATAATCCATTTTCTTCATTCCAGCAGCAGTACCTATACTGGTATTAATTTGGTAATTGGGTGTGCTTAGCTATTGCCTAACATCCTATACTGGTATGCATGCTAAAACCTCTCTAGTTCTATTTTGCAAGGCACCTTTACAATACGTTCTATAAGTTTCTGCACTAATAACAGAAAACAACAATGAATTAAGATAAAGAGCAAAACTATTTCCTGAAATAAGAAAATAAAAAGCATCATTATACATTTATTAAAAACTACCTCGGGGCAAGTGACAATACTCTGAAATACAGTCATGTATAAAGGTAATACAATTTTAAGCAAATCTTTTTCCCAATGTAAATATTTTACGCTAGTCTGATTAGAGAGAAATACAGAGAAACCACAAAAGGTGAAGCAATGTCTAAGTAAATAATGATAAAGCTTATATGACCTTGACATGAAACAAGAAAAAAGGACAAAAAAATTTTAGAATTATAGAACTGGTGCTTGTCCATGCTACTGCTTTCAAAAAACCCTTTCAATAATCTAGCCATTTCCTAATAAAAAGGTAACTACAAATGCAAACCCAAAGGAGGACTTTGCTACAGTTCTCCCTCTTGATTTTTCTCCATACCTTCGGTAATTAAAGGCTGGCTGTGATGCTACCTGTGCACCAATGTTTTTTTACCGCAATACACGTCTGATTCATTAAATGGACAACTGCAGGGCCTAAAACACTGACAGAACTGAAGTTAAGTCACAGTATGCATTCTGAAGAGGACATGCACAGTTCCAAGTAAGGGCAAATACCTTTTCAGCAGAATTTTGAAGAGACTGCTTGGCTTTCTAGTGTTTTGCACATAGATATATTTTCAGTAGCACATAACATTTTTTTATTCAGGCTAGAATTCCAATGTGTTCTCTTCAGCGCAACGGCATTTAAAAACTCAAAAGCACATGATATAATTATTCTTATTTAAACAAAAGAAGTCTATGACTCCAGCTGCAATGTTTGAAATAATCATACAAAATATACATATTTGTTAGAACCCTTTTGATCTCAGAGAGCAAAGGGATTTTATGAAATATCATCTTGTGAAATTTAGAAAGGTACAACATTATGGACCTCTTAATATTATCAAATATATCCATCATGATCATCGTCATCATCATCATCATCCCCTTCATCTTCATCATCATCTTCAATTTCATCTTCATCATTCATAATTTCATCTTCATCATCTTCATCATCTGTCCATTCATGGAAATCACCAGAGGCAAAATCACCTGAAGTCTCTAAATCAATAGCTAAAAAGGTATGATAGTTATAGAAAAGACTCACAAGGTAGACTACATATTTACAGATTATTTTACATAAGCATACAAAAGGCACACCAGAGTATTTACTTTCAGGACAACTACAGAGTGTTACATAAAAACAAAATATAAATAATATGACGATTCTTTTGTCATAAAAAATCCACCTCAATTTTGAATTAATTTCTCAATGCTAACAAAAGGAGACAAATTTTATGGATTTGTAGAACTATAATGAGTGCTAGGAACAAGTGAAAAGATTTAAGTCCAACTTACAGATGACAATAAGGACTACTGATAATATACCCTGACTATTGTTCACTTCTTACATATTGTCTTGAACTATATAAAACTGTCCATTTATCTAGGAATGATTCTGCATCAGATGGACAACAGGCCTGAGCTTGTACCTCAAATACTGTGTACAATTTACTCTCTGCTTCAGGCTATGTTCTTTTGTTAGAGAAGAAGTGAAAAGGAGTCATGAATGACTTTTGTTTTTGTTTTTTTTAAAAAAGAGGAAAAGTACTTTTTTTTTTCGTCTTTTATATCTGGGACATCAAATAAAGGTGACATGGGAATTCTTGGAAGAAGCTGCACAGTGCTGTAGGGAAGGGAAAAATAAGGGAAGATTTAGTGTGCTAAAAAGTTTTGGCAACTCCCTCAAATATAAACTGAAAAAAATGTCAAATAGAATTCACTTGCATGCCAATTACCCAAAGGAATTTCATGAAACATTCTGGGACTTATCTAATGCTGCTCTAGAAAATTAATTTTTCCTGGGTTTATATACACTATGCCAAGCACATGTAAGGAGTCTATTAATAGTTGACACAGTGACAGGAGCTCAAAAAAAAAAAATTAAGCAATAACAATAGAAAATTATAATTTGTTTGGTTTTGTATCAAAATCCATGTAGTTGGGTCCCACACTTCTTACTGAAGAAATTTAACCTGGTTGTCAGTCAAAGGGAAAAACACCTCTAAACTGAACACCACAGAAAGTTCTTAACTCACCACATTCTGCTGCACCATTTGTTCTGGATCCTGACACTTCATTGCCATATCTGTCCACACACCAGCACTGCCCTAGGCTTCCGTGGCACTGACTTGGTTTGTAATACCCATCTTCATCACAGTAGGGGATGTATTGCCCTGCAAGATAGATAGATAGAGAGATAGATATAGATACATATGTTGAATAAGTGTATTAAATTCCATGTCTTGGCCAATGTCACAATTATAGCAGAAAGCAGCTACCTTTTGCTGCTGCATCATTTCAGACTCTAAGCTGACTGCTTTAGTAATACTAAATTCAGTTGACTCAAAGTGACTAAAAGTATCAAATGTGGGAGGGAAAATGACACAAATCAGTCTTGGACTGATTTCAAGAAATCAAGTGAGTGATCTTGCTTTAAATTTTTGGTTGATCCTGTGATACATATTTCTTACTCCCTGAATATCTTGGTCCAGATTTTCAATGTATTCTGGTGAAAGGGTTGAAATGTAGGGCCCACTCCTGAATGGGAAGTTCTATCATCTGTGGAGTACAAAAAGTCTGAATAGTAAAGGCCAGACTTCCTGACTAACAAACTATCTGCTACAAGGAGTTATTTGTGTTTAATATGTATTTGAAAAAACACTTATTTACAGACTAAGATGTAATTATTCCACCGGAGAAGATGAATGCAACAGAACACACCGTAGAAAACTGTAAAAAATTAATACTAAATTTGCATTTACATGTATAGGAAGGGCTTATTTTATGAGGCAGTGACTTGCCTACAGCTGAATAATCCACTGTTTATCACTTGGACCAAATGGAGACCACAAAGAACCAAATATTCATATGCAAGCATTTGAAGTGTATAGTTCTTATCAGAAACCATCTTTATGAGAAATAAAGATAGAGTTTTGACTGCTTGGGTCCAAGCCTTTTATTTCAGCTTTTACAAAGTAACTAGTGGTAAATGAAGACTTCACACTTCAGAAATATTGATGCAGTATAAACTGATACACTACAAAGATTTAAATTACTTACAGAATATTACAGTTAAAGGATCAGCAAAAATACTACTTTAGAAGTACCTTATGCTGTCCCTTCTGTAACTGTAAAAATGTACCTTCTATCAGGATAATAACACAAATGTAAGAGCTTTTGGTAGGTAACATCATAAAACCAAGTTTAATAGCTTTCAAAAATTTCATAAATTTTGTTGCTGAGATTTACTGTGGTCTATCTTCATTGGATTAATATTGATTTTGTGTTGCTGTTTAACTAGGATTATTTATGTAAGTAATAAAACCTTCAAAAGAATGATCTATGGCTCACCTAGGAGCTTCTTTCCTCCTTGCTGCTTCTGAATGTTGCTGAGTTCTGTTTGGCAAGGTGGGTCTAAAAGGACATAAAAAATGTTGAACAGGTTACACAGTATCTAGGACAGACAGCACATGACTACATTTTCAGAGTTTGCTATGCTGTAAGGTCACTCTAACTATTGATCTTATGGAACACACACATCTGAAAAAAAATCATAACCACACTTTGCTACAGTTCCAGAAAAAAATCAGTGCAACTGCTTGCTTCATGTATTACCTAAAAACAGGATGGCTCTTTAAATTTCCTCCCTTTTCTCGTTTTTAGAAGTTATGTTCCAATTTTGTATTTCACATACTACACACTAAGAAAATAAGACCTTTCTCTTCACTGAAGCCCGCAAGATTGTGATTCTCTGGCAACAATGTAAGACTGGGTCCCCATGGGTACGAAACCCCATGTGAATCAAACTAACTTAGAAATGAAGGCCAAACTTTTGGTAAGTTGATGATTCTAAGAAGCAGAATATGTATCAAAATTCAGTTTTCCATTCTTCAGCTACAGCTTGTTCTTGTTCTGAATAATTTCATTTTTTACTGTCCACAGAAGAAAGTCACAGTATGCCCCATGAAAAGAAAATAAGATGTGAACGTATTTACATCACTGTTCAATATGTGAAAGAATCAAAACCAGAAAAGCACTAATTAATCTCTGAACAATGGCACTGCATACCACATTAGACCATTATTAGTACCAGGGCATTTCTCATTCTGAACCAGCAATGGAATTACTGAGTTTACTCACAGGTGTCTTTAGCCTGCACCATTCCCAGACAAAAATCTTACATTCCATGAATATTAATTGCATTTTCCATTTTAGCAGACTCTGATAAATTATAATACATCCTGCCATGTACTTAACTCAAGGATGCCTTTTTCTCCATGCAAATAGAAAAAGGTGTTTGAGCTGGTTTAAAGATGAGTAAGACTGGCCCAGCCCATTGATGCAGAACACATATAAGATCAGAACCCAGTCACTATGTAGGGCACACTGGTGACAAATGCCTAGATGAACAGCCTAATTATTCCCAACAGGCCATTGGTTTTATCTAAGAGAGTAAAAAAAAAAAAACCCTAGTAGACAATAATAACCACTAACTGGCAGCAAGCTGTTCATTTCTCGTTTTTATATTTTAAATAACATTTATATATTCAATACATTTAAAGAAGCTTATAAATGTTTCCAGTGGCCTCAACTTTAGTGGGCCTGGCTTTCCACACTAAATCTATAATGATTCTGTGAAGGCCTTAAGGGTAGGCTCCACTTTCAAAATACTGTCAACAGCAGTCTTAATGCCAGAAGAATTTTTCAGGAGTTGTCTTTCCAGACAAAAAACCAATTTATCTGTGTGCTCTTGAAAAATCCCTGAGATTTGACATCATTGGGTCGGTACTGGATTTTAATAATTCAGCCTCTGAGTATTTGTTGAGACAACATGAAGTTTTACTTTTTTCATTGTAAGAAGTACTTTGAGGATGATCATTCTCACTATTTCATTACCTTTCAAAATGAAGGTTTCTGTCTTTCCCAATATTTGATGATTTTAAACTCTTAATGCTACAACATTCTGAGGATAGATTATTTCTTAACTAAAGGTATATTCTACTACCATTAATCTAATAAATGATAGTCATTTATCATACAAATATCACAGGTTATAAGGACCTAGGAATTGGATGAATTTGGCAGGGTTAGATTAATGGTTGGGTAATGTCACAGAATGATTCTATTCTATTCTATTCTATTCTATTCTATTCTATTCTATTCTATTCTATTCTATTCTATTCTATTCTATTCTATTCTATTCTATTCTATTCTATTCTATTCTATTCTATTCTATCCTATTCTATCCTATCCTATCCTATTTTCTCCTCTTCTCCAAAAGAGATGGGAAATACACCAATGAAGAATTATCCAAATAGGAAGAATACATGTATTTTTTTTCCATGAAAAATAATCCTAAATTAAAAACAGAGATATGCACACATGAACACTAACACGTGGAAATGTAAAAATTATGAATAATGCCTAAAAAAATATATATATAGCTATAAGTGTTTGGTGGCATAATTACAAAAAGGAATACCACTAACCAAGAGGTAACAAGGCAACATGAGGTAGTTACTTACCCAAAACACTCTTCATCTCAGAAGTTAGGTCTTCAAGATTCACACTTAAGCTTTGCTTCTCAGGATAAAAGCAGCAAAAACTCTTAACAGTACTAAATCACTTTGGTGCTTAAAACTTTCAAAGAGAATGGTAGGCTAGAAGTTCAACCAACTCCTTTTGGCTCACAGCACAATTCCTTTTTCCTCTCTTCCCAAATCATAATGACTCCCTCTTTATTTGCAGCTTAGTTCCTAAGTTTGAAAAGCTTTATTTTAGATTTCTGAAGTTATTTCAATAAAAAAAAGCAGTCACTGGTCAACTTAAGACAGTCTTGAGCCAAGGTGAGAAAAAAAAAATCTTTTACAAAATTCAGGGTGGCAGTTTCTCTTGAAATAGCAATGAATCTGACATGAGTCTGTCTGAAAATCTGAATACAAATAAGGTATCTAAATCATCTTCATCCTTAATCAACTTTCACAGATGAGGCAGGAATTGTCCTTCTGCTAGTATCAGTGCATGGCTGGGAATGAATCCTGCACCACACACCACCAGCCACTCACAGTTTGCCAATGCTCAAAGTACTGGTGCACACCAGAGTATCCAATGTTATTAACGTTGGCCCTTGAGACATCAATATCCAGTCATGTCAAGAAGTGCTTCAAGGTTGGCACAGTTAAGCTTTGATTTACCAAAATAGCACATTAACAGATGAACTGGAGTCAAACTGGTAGGTTTGACAAAGAATGTCTATGATTTTTAATAGACAGCTCCCAAGGAGCTGTGACCCATACAGTGAGCCTCCAACTTTCAGAGATTCTCCTTACACAAATATAAAACAGTGATTTTCTTCACCTCTGAAGTAGACAGTATTTGGCAGAGCCCCTAAGTTCTGGAATACGGTCCACTGCAGATAAGGCTGCAGTGACATCTTGCCTGTACTTGGGGTCAGGCATTGTAATTGTTGGATGGCCATGGTTTGTATTTCAGGGATCTGAAGCATCAATACTACTCTTCAAGAAGTCTTCCAGGGGAGCTCATTTATGATCATCATTTACCTAGACAAAAGCATGTTACATCTTCCTTTGTAACTATCTGTAAATATATTTGAAGTCCTTGCAATCTTATGACCGGCAAATACAAATCATGGTAATTATCAATTCTTCTGTAAAGAGGGACTGTTTTTAAAATCATGATGATGTCTTCAAGGAATGACAGACAGAACAACATCTAAGAAAACACACCTAGAGAAGTGCTGGACTAATAGATCCACGCAGAGGCCTGTAGTAAAGAAATACTTTACTGCCAAGCATTAATACTCTCAGCAAAATTGGTTGCTCCCCTACTCTGAATTAGTGATACAACAAAACAAGGCTGCAGTAATAGATTACTGGCAGAACAAAAAAATCAGCCTGTAAAAAGGCCAACATTGCAAAGGCTTCAGCATTTAGGTAAGCACTAAAGTGTCATTGAACAGCTAAGAAAGTTGAACAACTAAGAAGATAGGTGCTGAAACACTTGCATGGATTGTTGAAACTGGAGCGCCATAGTGATCAAAGTGTACAGAAAGACTTGCAAGGAACGCTGGAACAGTGCAGATTTTGATGTATTGCAGAAATGCATTTTAAGGCCTTGGATATACCTCAGAAATACTGAACTACATTTAAAGCAGAGTAAGGGTAAGAAAAAATGCAATAAGCATCACTGGATTGTACCTCAGTGTCTAACCATTCACGAAGGTGGGACATCTACTACAGAAAGATAATCCACAAGAAAGATCTGACTTCAGGATTCATCAAAAAGTTGCCTATATTGACTAGAGGTAATTAGCAATATTCAGGTATAGGTCTAATATTCAATAGGTCTAATGTAGTGCAATCCAGCAGAAAGAAAGAGTGAGAAAAGTTTCAAGTACTTGTCCAATCCTGACAATCTTGCATTGTAAAACTAAGATCAAAGACCATGAGGACTTCTCAGATAATGACTCCAGCAAATACTGTGCACTTTTAAAAAGCATAATGAAATTGCTATCCCAGTATGATATATATGATTGACTAAATTTTGTATTCCTTTAGAACATTAATCAACAACAGTAGTGTAAAGCCACTGATCTGCCCAGAAAGCACTACTACATGGCTTGAAGCATTCTGTTAATATCAACTTATTTTAATAAACATCAGAAAGAAACTGCTGAAAGTTTCAGAAAGGCTTAGTTAAAGGCCTTATTTTGATCATTCCATCAAGTAAAACATAACCAGACATGAACATATTCCACGGCTCGGCATAACAATGTGAATTACAAACAAGAGAATTCAATGGGTCACTAATTCACTAGGGAAGTAGGGCTCAGACAGTTGTGCAACAGCTAATAATAAGACATGACAAAAGAAGACTGTAAGATTTCTTCCTCCTTACACCAAAGAACAGAGAATACAGATTTTGATGACATTGTTCATTTTGAAGGATGAAGTGCATGTTTAATGTGCAAGGGCTGCTGAAACACTATATACTCAAACACACTGTGGTATCAAAGACTATCTAATCTGTTTGAAAACACCACCTTACATTAACACCATTATCAAGACAGTGAGGTAACTGGTAAAAAGGGGAAGAAAAGCTTGATAATGTTGAGTTCTGCTGTGTGAAGAATCAGTGTCACTGAAAGATGGATTTGTTGGAGTCCCATTTCATAATGTTTACATCAGTCTTTACAATACCATCCTCAGGTTCTAATAGTACACTGAGCTAATATTATGCACAAAATGTGTTTATTAGGTAAGAAAATGCAAAATTACTTGAAACTGGTCTGTGGAAGGGTTTTCTTAATGCCCTGGTTATGCCATGCATACATTATATGGAATTCCTGGAAAAAACTTTGGACCATAGTAGGCCACGTGTTATTTGCTGTACTTCCTCTGGCAACAGGAAAGAATTATACTGCCATCCAAAGACTAAGGGTATTTATAATTAAGCTGAAATTATTGTGGTCTTTTTTTATTTTATAGACAAATGAACAAAACATGTTATGTTCTTTAAGAGGTACATTACTTCTGGGATGGGCTATTATAAATTTGCTAGTTTTGGTAGCACTATATACAGGCATATAAAAAAATCCAGCAAAAGTTATTGTTCTATTATAAAACAAACAAGATCTTTTGAAAGCTTAAATGTTAACATTTTAACAAAAAAGTTAACAAAGTAGAGATATCTGCTATTTAGTATTTATCTACAGAAGTACAGCTTTATTTTTACTTATATTTCCAAATGGCAGACGTGGCATGATAAAAACCTTGATTTTCACAGAAATCAGAATGAAACCATAAATGTTGAATGCTAATGGAATTTATCATGAGTTTTAAGGGTACAAGTGAGATTTAAAAACTGATACTAAAACTTTCAAAAAGGCTGAATTAGCTTAGCAAACTTTCCACCAAATCAGTTTTATCTCCTCTTTTGTCAGTAGAAATTTGAACCCTAGTTACTGTTTATCCTTTAGAAAAATGCCCTAATGTTAGTAAGAAAAATGCAAGGGTTATTCTGACCAACTTCACACATTATTCAATGAGTGAATTTCTTGATATGTTACAAGTAACTTGATTATATAGTTTACGTGATTTCTCACATCTAAAATTGTTATATATTCCTCAGGAAAACAATGCTTATAGGTTGTGTTTATTTGTCTAACCAAAATTACATCAGAATATTAACAAGAGATTCAAGTAGGCAATAAAAACCAAGTTGTTTTAGGTCCAAATGACTGGAAATAACTTTATCCATAATGTTCATTCAGCTATTTTATTAGGCTCATTGAACATTAAGATACCCTACATTAGCAATAAAAAAGTTTTTTTTTTTAATGTAGGCAAAGTAGACTGCGAAAGAAATAATTTAAGCAATTTTGTTCCTTATTTTCATCTCTATTCCTCTACATACATACTAAATTTTGGCATGGGGAACAATATAGCTGCAAAAGCATTAGTGGCAGTGTTGCACTTTATTTAGAATCCTTGAATTTCTAGCAAGCTTTTCCATTTAGCCTGAGTCCTTTAGCCTTTTTTTTTTTTGGGGGGGGGAGGGTTTACTTCATTTTAGGCGTTCACCGTATGTCACAAACCTTAACACAAATTCATTGCACAGCATTTAAGAGCTTGTAGTTCACTGTAATCTTCTTAATATGTTAATAAAAAGATAAAGCCCAACAAAAGGTCAGTCATATACAGGTTGATCTCATCTTTTACCTTGCTGTCTTTGGAAGCAGTAGCACCACTCATTGTTAGATATCAAACTGTCTTTGTACGTGTCACAAGAATTGAAGAAGGCCCTGGTGCACGGCTCGTTCTTGTCCAGGTAAATGCTTCCAAGTTCTGACTGGTCCAACAACAGGTCATAGTTTGTGTCGAGCCTATTAAACATCCAGCCGAGGGAGTCTTTGCAAATTGGCAAAATGCTGGTATCAAATCCTAAGAGGCAAAACAGAAATAATAAAAATTATATAGGAGGAAAGCTAGATCAGCTGCTGATCCCAGCCACCACGAAAGAATGCTGCATCATGGAAATAGCTCTGGTGGTACATAGATAACATAAATCAACAGTGTATGTTACTGAAATGCACACAGAAATTATATGTCAGATTCACTTTTAAAGTCACTAAATTAACCCGCCAAAAAAATCAACCCTACAATCAGCCTCAAAACATTCAGAAATACGAGGTTTTGTGTCAAATATTATACATATAGCATGCACATTATGTACAATAATAAACGATATACAATGTTTTCCTGAAAAATAATATTGATGAGGAATTTAATTGATATTATAAATCAGGAGAATGAAACTTCAGTGGTTTGCAAAGTTTACAAAACCAAGCAGAGAATGAATTCCAGGTAACTTGTAGGAGTCTGTGCTTGGTTTTTTGTTTTGTTTTTTTTTTGTTCTGATAACATACATTTAAATCTATGAAAAAAGAACATGATGGTTAGTCTCAGCAATGCTTTCAAAATTGTATTTTATCTTTACATGGTGTACTTTCTGTCTTGGAGGAGGCCATGGAAAAGATGATTGCTAAGAGCAGCTGGCTGCCAGTGTCGTACTTACCTACACACCATACACCTTCCTAAATCACTGCTCGAAAAAATGGCCAAATGGAACAGGCTGAGTTAATTACTCCTGTAGCAACACCTCCCATTGATGTTTCCTGCACGAACTTTAAAGTACATGCAGACTTGCCTATGGACATGAAAGGGAAATGCAGAAACCACCACGCCTTTTGCCTCTGTTGAAGCTGTGAGCTGCAGATGATACTAACACACTCTTTCTCTGGTTCATGTACTGTGGATCATGCCACAGGCCAATGTGGCCAGGCAGGCAGTCAAGTACGCACCCTAACACAGAACAAGATTTAGTGCTACTAATCATTATTCTTCTCAAAACTTTTAAGTTAAAACTGAGCATTGAAAAAATGAGATGGGTAGATGGAGATGGCTATAGAAAAGTTGACATGAGTGCACACAGGAATTCCCAATTTCTATTGCTCTTTAAAATCAAGCCTGCCTGCTTTTGCTGTTACTGACAACAGTAAAGAAATCTGGAAAGTGCTTCTATACTGCTAAACAGGTTTCATCCAATAATCGCATTTAGAAGTCATTAGATGTCCTTTTAGATATATATCTAAATATACTACTCTGTGGTAGAATGACCATCTCAGAAAGAAAAAGATAGCTGATAGCATCAAAACTCCCTGTGCAACTCAGATCAACACATAAAATCCTTTTCCACAGAAATTCTAAATTAACTATGAATTCTCGTCAGGGTGATCTCACTTTTTCTAGTTCCCTGATGATCTGCTGCATTATTTATTATTTTTGTTTGATAGAAAGAAGACAAAAAAAGCAAAAAGATTTAAGCCAGCCATTTCATATTTATATAGTTTTCAGGTGTTTAACACAACTTAGAAACATACCATATCATTCAGCCAGAGATCTCTTTCCCTTCCTCTTCAGCCCCTTATAAAACATCAGGACTAAACTTACTTTCTGTGGATTATGAAGAGCAGAGAGATACAGGACCCAACTGAATGAATAAGGATATAGAATACAAGTCTTATGCAACCTTATCTGTAAAAGGTATCAGAATTTTCCAACAGGTGTTTCAGACCAGAAAAAAACTGGAAGGTTCCTCCATCTTAAAACATTTTTTTAAGGATTAATGTTCAGTGTAACATTATTTACCTGCAAGGCTCTGCTCCTGAATGCCTCTTAACACATCCTCTCTTAATTCTGCTTTTAGCTAGAGATCCTCCTCATGACCTTGGGTACCAGAAGAGGTCAAATGAAACATAATGCTGCCTATCCTGCCTTTTGTGTACCTGCATCACAGGAGAAATTTTTATTATACTCACAATTTTTTTTCTGAATTTAGCACTCTGGCCAGCTCACCGAATTATAACAAATGAGGCAGAAATAGAACAACTATGATTTTAACTAATTAGATGCCAACTAGAAGGGAATTTAAGATAAAAGCAACTTTACATAAGATGTATTTAAGGATAGACCTTGGGGGCCAAAGTAACTGAAGATAATACTTCTGCATGTGGAAATTCAAGCTTAAGTTTCTTGAAAGAGACATCACTTTCAAGCTTGTGACAAAATATTTTTAAATCAGCATTTGTGGCTCATGCTGGCAAAGCTCATATAAAGCATTTGCATTTTAGGATACTAGAAGGTAGTTTTATGTTTTTAATAAACTACACTAAGGAAAAGCAGACACCCCCCCCAGCCCCAAACATCTGCTTAATTTACAGAATGGGAAGGGACCCATAAGGATCATCAAGTCCAACTCCTCAGTCAGTTTCAAATTATACTCTAAAAATAAATAAATTTATCTGAAAAATAGTGAAGAGAACTGAACATTTCAAAGGTGTATACACCACTAAATTAAGGCTGGAACAATATTATACAATTGCATAAGATCTTATCCCTGTGTTTTTCTTTATTTCCTTAACTATCATTAGCCTGTAACTGGAGTGCATCCTCTGTTCCCATTCCTCAATTTTTTTCTCACTTCTTTCTATACAGCTTTAAGATTTTTGAAAAAGTGATATTACATTTTTCATAATTAAGGACAAAACTTGAAAGTAAAAAAATTTGCATTGGAGTCAGCAATATAAATAAAAGGCATATCATTTTATTATAGATCACTGATACTAACAGGATAGCACCAGAAAAATGTTATTATGTTATAATATTTTCAATAAATCCTGTCAAAGGTCAACATAACCATAGCTGAATATTTAAATATAGAGTATGAAGTCTGATATTCGTGACATGGTCTTCCTAGAAGATGAGAATATATTATTCCAGTACATCAGAACTAATAAACCTACTTCAAACAATAACATTTCATATAAGAAAATCTTACATTTATTAAAACTGTCATAACCTATCTGTTAAATAGCATCAGATACTGGAGGAAAAAAGTACTATGGTTCATGGGGGTCTAACCTTCTACTAAATAAATGCTTGATTTAATAATTTTAAAACTGATCATGTTTTACCTCAAAAGCAATTTATATTTCTTTTATCAGAGTTCAATTCTGAAGTAGTTTGTATTTTCATTTACAGCCCAGATATATTTGGTGTTGTTTTTACTAGTTTTGTGTTCTTCCTCTTGTTTAGTATATACAATTTTTTTGTAAATAGAGAAAAATCACATTTCATCTTAGTTTTCATTGGTCTTGTTTCATGAAGCCAAAGTCTTTCACAACCATCAGTCACTGCAATACAGAACCATCTGAAATCTAGGTCAAATATTAGCTTTGCTCAAATAAATAAAATAAATAAATATGGCTCAAGTATTTCAGAGGTAAACCAGGCAGGTCTTGACAGAGATAGAAACAACTTTGTCTGATGTAAAATGGAGCACTCCATCTCCTCCAGAACTGCTACACCAAAGAAAGATCATCGCTTTGGGTCTATATACACATTACCAACTCTTTTAGAGATTCTTGTGGTAAAATTCTTGGTTCATTTTAAAAGAACCTTTACTGAACTGTCCAAACTTATATAATTATCAGAAGTACCTCCTCTCAACTGTCTCAATGACTTGCTTCCTGTATTGTAATATTGATAAAATAATACATCTTGAAGGTGATATACTTGGGTAAAAGAGTCAGAAAAGCCTTGAAGAATGTATCTAGAGTTTAATATCTGCTAACATGGTTTTACATGAAGGTCTGTATCATCTGAAGGTGTCAGATGATACACAACTAAGAATAAAAAAATCACCAGGTGACCTAGATCTCAGAAATTATTGCCCAAATCACATAATACATATATTATCACTTGGAACCAGAATGCTGATTTTACACATTTTTCACGGTTGTAACATAAAGCAACAAGCAGAAACTAAGGAATAATTAGTATAATTGAATGATAGTAATTTATTCTTGATGATTAAGTACCAGGACATTACACTGAGGAGAGCAAAAACTACAGTTCAGACGACTAAATTATGAAAGATGTTTTTCATTTTAACCACTTACTCAAAATCTACTTCCATACACCATAATGAAGCGAACTTTTATGCAGCTATTTCTGAACACTATCTAAAAACATGAAGCACCAGCTCATGCTCTTTTCCTGGTCAAAACAATCACAAGGGAAAAATTATTAAGAAATGTAACCATCCTCCATGGCTTACATAGTGGGCATTCAAAGCATTTGCTCAAAAGGAACCAACAGAAATGTTCCTCTTTCTAGTTATTTCTTGGGAGAATTTCATCTCTTATCTGCTTTCCAAGGTAAAACCATTGTTTGCCTGCTTATTAAACACATAAGTAATATGCACATTTGAGGAAGCCAGCTTTTGAAACCACGTGGAAATCAAACAGCACACATACACAGGGCTCAGATATTGCATTATACAGAAATTGGTTATGTAAAATGCCAAGAAATGCACAATTTTTTCCAATTCCAGCGTGCTGTCTGAAGCAATGAAAGATACTGGCAAATCAACACATGGATAAACACACATGCACTCTTTGCCAGACTCCTGGCTGACATCTAGACCATGGATTTTACTTGTTCATTGTACAGGCTGCATAGCAAGGTTTTCTCTTGTAATGGATTTTGTAATATTCTGTTTAGCAGAAAACCTTCAGTGAACAGCATCTCTCAGCTGAAAACTACTGTGCACAAGTTGGGAAAATGTTTCCCTTCTTAATGCAATGAGGACAGGGCAGAGCAGGAAAGACTAAAATAAAGAGGGCTAAGCAGAGGTGAATGCTTTGGTACTTGATCACAAAAATGGTGATCTTGGTGAGCCTGATTTGGCTTCACAAGATCCAGGGGACAGATTTAGGCATAACACTCTGTCCCTTGTCTGAGGCTGTAACACATTCCTGCTCACTAAGAGCACACAGAGAGGAGCAGAGCCCAGGTTAGGGTAAGGCACAGAATCACAG